ATTCACGATGGTGACTCCCCTTCTGCTTTTAAAGCCATCCTCTCGGAGAGGGAACCTCTCATCCCATCCCATTTTGTGCTCTGGTTCATAGAGAAGAAACTGCATCCACTCGAGTCTTTCCTCCTCCCTGTGTATACACCTTAGGAAAGGATGTGATAATCCCGCTGGCCTGACTCATCTGGCAGCATCTGCTAGTGGTGGGCAGGTTACTGTGACCCAAAGGCTGGATGGAGGTATCACTTTCTCATATCCTTCACCTGTGCTCGCTGAACCTCTTCTTATTTCCTCTTTCATGCCTAGCTTCCAAATTCAAAGCCTCTCCTCCAGGAGAAGACTCCACGTTCTCTTTCTTCTGTCTTCTCCTGTTCAGCTGGTTGAGGAGACTACACCTTTTAGATTCGAGAGGGATGAGTAGGAAGCCCAGGTAGGCTTCCAGGTGGAAGCCCTCTTGTGTGCACTAGCCTTCTCTGTGTATCTGAGAGGGCCTGCATGAGTGCGGGGGGCGTGTGGCACTTGCTTCCAGCAGCAGGGCTGTTTCTTTTTCACAGTCCACTCAGCAGGTAGCAAACACTGCAGGTAAGTAGGGTGAGTGAACAGGATTCAGGGACGTGTATCTTATTCACAAACCCTACTCTTCCTCTCCCTAATGAATTAATTAGATGGAAAAATAATAGGAAAGGTTATATTTGTGACTATTTTAACCCTAATTAGTCTGTTAGCTTGAATTCAAATCCTAAGCAACTTTTCAAATACTTGGAGACAATCTTTTGGACTCTGTTTGGGAAAGGTCGTCTGGCTCCGACCTACTCTGACACTGAAGATCCCAGGGTTCTCTTGGGAGGAATCCTGTAGCTCTGTGGGATCTTAGGGCAGCATTTTGGGCACTGGGACTCACAGTTGATTAGGATAGGACTGCCTGGGGAAGGAACTGACCTGCTCAACCCAAAGTGAACTATTTCAATGTTAGGAAATAGTGCCAGGCAAAACATCAGAAATGTTAGTGGTGCCTCCATCAAGATGTAAATAAAAATATCAGAAGACAAAGACACAGACAACAGTATGGTGGTTACCAGAGGGAAGGGGATGGGAGATAAAGGGTAAAGGAGCCAAATATATGGTGACAAAAGTTGATTTGACTTTGGCTGGTGGGCACACAATGCAATATACAGATGATGTGTCATAGAAATGTTTACTTGAAACCTACATAATCTAATTAACCTATGTCAACCCAATAAACTTAATGAAATAAAATATCAGGAGAACTTCATTCTAAATGTACATAATAAATTCATGCACGCAGTGGGGTCCCTCAGCCCAGCCTGCGCCCTCTCGCAGTCCGGGACCCTGGGAGATTGGGCCTAAGCTGGCAGTCAGACATCCCTCTGGCAGCCCAGGAGCCCTCAGGGGATGTTCACCTGCCAGCTTAGGCCCGCTCCCTGGGAGATCAGGCCTAAGCTGGCAGTCAGACATCCCTCTGGCAGCCCAGGAGCCCTCAGGGAATGTCCAACTGATGGCTGGCCTAAGGCATCAGTTGGACATGCTTAGCACTGCCGAGGAGGCAGGAGAGGCTCCTGCCACCACCACTGCGCTCGCAGCCATCAGCCCAGCTTGCGGCTGAGGGGAGCACCGGGACCCCTGACCACCAGGGGGCAGCTCCTGCATTGAGCATCTGCTCCCAGGTGTTCTGCTGTTAGGGTCAATTTGCATATTACACTTTTATTATATAGGATGCCAAAGGAATTGGTAATCTCCAAGAGTGTTTTGAACTCTAATGTGCCATTGTTCCAGGGTCACTCTGACTATAGCATACATAAATTTCAGGCATAATTTTTTCCTACTGCACATTTATCTCTTCACAATCCTCCCTATAAACACATGCAAAACAAAATAGGCACGGGCCCCAAAATGGCTCCTACCAGGCCCCAAACTGGCAGAAGGCTGTCAGACTTGAGTCTTCCCATTCTTCATCTGCAAATATATATGGAAAGCTCACCATAAACCAGGCCTGGTGCTAAGTGCTAGCAATCCAAAGATGAAAGGATACAAGAAGCTCCCTCCAGTTGGCCAGATTAGTGTGAATGCGTTAGTTATCCCAGGGAAATGTAGATTTCAGCAGGGATGAAGGCTTACTCTAAAGGACTAACTAAAGTTCAATACTGTAGGGCACGTAATTACTCTTCAAAGTCTTCTTCAATGAAACCCTGAAGGGAAATACCTCATTTAGTGAAGAATTTTACAAATCTTAGACTCCTTTCTCTTATCTTCCTCTTGGTATCTGTGACGTAGCAAATTCTCTTAGTTTTCCCACAGCACGAGATCAGTCATCTTTTATTTCATAAGGCCCAGAAGGGAAACTACACAGACCAAAGGAAGAAAATCCTTGTATCTCGGAAATTTCCAGAAGTTAAAAAAAAACAACACCACAAAAACTTCCTCATTGTTCCTTAAAAACCTAAAATAATTTACAAAGAGAGAGATCGATTCCCTTGTTTTAAAATATATTATTTTAAAGCAATATATCTAAGCAGTTTGATATCATAGTTTATGTTCATAATTTTAGAAGCGTTGAATCTGTTATTTTGGAACCCGGACAAGTGCTTTTAAAGAGAACATGCTGGATGGAAGAATGTTTCTAGGTTTGATTTTTTTAAAAATCAACCATGATGTAATTCCAGATTTCTTTTTTTCCTTTAGACATCATTTGGTCACCATAGTAACACAGTGTTTTACTACCAGATATCTATACAGCATAAGGGGAAGAGAACAGGCTATTACTTACTGGGTTATTTGGGGGTACAGAATGTGACTATTGGGATAATTCAAGATTAAATATAGATTTCACTGGGGATCTGTTTTAGCCAGGCAAGCTGATTCAATCTTCTAGTGGCATCAACTGAACAGAATGTGCAACCAAATCAATTGTTGACATCATCTGAAATAACACAAGCAGAGAAGCAGCATGGTTCAGTGGTTAAGATCATGAACTCTGGGGTCAAGTTTCTTGTGTCCAAATCCTGTTCCTACTATTTACTAGCTGTGCAACTGTGGGAGAGTCCCCTAACCTCACTGTGCCTTAGTTTCTTTATCACCAAAATGTGGGTACTCATAACACCTCCTCCAGAGGGTTATCATACGGATTACATGATTGATTTTTGTGTGCTTAGACTGATGCCTTACATACAGTAAGAACTTTGTAAGTATTTGTAAAATATAGACAAAGTAAAATTTAAACTTGTAAGCTTCCTTCTCTATGCTGGGTAGAAATGGTCAAGATACCGAGATTTGAATACATGGCAGATTATTTTAGCCTGTAACTTTGGGAGATTCCTTTGAGAACTTCATGGGGGGAGGGGGGGGCTCTTGGTAGCTGTTCTGTAAGGCTTGAAATTCGGTGGCAGTTTGCTGTCCTGAACCAGAGCTGGAAACTATCACAAGCCCTCCTGGTATCAGGAACATCAGGAGGAAGAGGCTTGCACAGCACAAAAAAACAGCACGCCTGCCCCCTCATCTACCAAAGCCACTGCCAACAACCTCTGGGAGCATGAGCACAGAATAAACAGCTGGAGAGGGATGAAACAGGATTTTATTTCAGTGACAATGAAATCTAGTTGGTTTCAGTAACATTTTTTTTTCCTCCTTCCCGGATTCAAAGAAAAAGATCATTTTCATCAATGACTGCTTTGTTTTATGAATTACCACTATACAGAATTTCCATCTGTTTCTTCAACAGGCACTTACTCTGGTGAATTATTCATTTTGCAGAACTACCTAGGCATCTTTGCGGGACCCATAACAAAACTAAAGCCCCTAACCAGCCAATAAGCCGAGATAAGAGCCCCAAATCGCCTGGAAAAAAAAAAAAGGTCTTATGTTCTCTAAGCCGAATTTCAGCCACAATACCGCAGGATCTCTGGCACATACCTCCATCCGGACTTGATCTTAGAGCCAGTCTCCTTGGGTCTTCTTGGTCAGCAATAGCCCTTACATGGGAGTTTGGAGAATGCCATAAGCCACCAGGAAAGCTTGGGAACACATTCATATCTGTCCTCTGCCTTTGCCTTGGCTCTCAGCCCGCTTCCTGGTAAGAAGACAAGATGACGCTGTGCAGGGCTGACTGTTAAACCATCTTCCCGCCCCCAGCCCCACTCTCTGGGTGCCCCTCCCTTCTCTTTTCCAAGGCTCTGGAATGTGTCACATGGGAAATGGATCATGTGGCTCCAGGGGAGAATGTGGCCATCTTCTCGCTCCCTCCCCCCACTTTTCCTTTCGGGAGCAAAGCAGCAGAAATCTCCCATCTGATTGGCTCAGGCAGAAATCTCCATGTGAAAAGGGAAGATTCAACTACCCAAACCTTCGGCATGCTTCACTTAATTTTTTGTTTTCTTTCTCATCTGAACGTTTTCTTCTGGGCATTCAGAGTTGCTTGGTAGAGTTGGAAATGATGCTTTCTCCCCATTCCCTTTCTTTCCTATCATCAGTCCCCTAACATGACAAGGGGTTCCTTACCCAGCCTCCGGAGCCCCCTTGGCACATATGGGACAATGGAGTATTCAGCACCACGGACAGCATTACAACCCCTTCAGTGTTCACTAAAGCCATTTTTAATTCCTTTAACTCTCAGGTAAATAAAAATAGTTTTAAAATACTTCCCTGAGGTCGTTTGTCTAAATAGACATCAGGCCAGCCATATATCTGGGGGTCCAGTTTCCCTGTCTATCTATTTACGGTTACTTTGTAAATACAAATATAAATTTTATATAACGTTAAACCCAAAGGGCATTCCATATCTACCTCCTTGTTCTCCTCCCACAATCCATCCCCACCCTTTAAATATGCTCTATGTTTTAGAGGAATTCTGGTAACACAATTTACTATGCCCATATGTCTATGCTCACGGAAAAGTCACCGAAATACACAGGATTTCCTGAGTGTGGATGTCTGCACGTCTTTCACCCCACCCCTAGGCCTCAGACAGGGCTGAATTAGAGAAGCAGGGAGAAAGCCTGGTAGGAGCTGTTTTGTTCCAATGTCTATCCTGCTTTGCTGACGTCTCGGTTGCCATGGCGCTAGGTAACTGCTGAAGGGGATGATTCCTTTCAGAACCGGTCACCATGGGACCCAGCTGGCTACAGAAAAGCAGAAGGAAAGGGGCTGAATTGCTGAGGAGGATTTCCAATTAGCATTTTCAGAGCCAAACTTACTTAATGGGCCCTTACCTTGCTGAATTGTTGCTGACCCTAAATCTTGAAAGGATTCTAGGAATTTGTGTGGACACTGCAATGGTAACTCTATCCTCTACAGCTTCTTTCCTGAAAAATCTGTGTAGGGGTGCCTTGGCTGGTGTAGCTGTTGGTTGGGCACTGTCTATTGCACTGAAGGGTTGCTGGTTCGATTCAGGTTCTAGGCACATGCCTAGGGAGGGAGGCAGCTCTCACATCAATGTTTCTCTCTCTCTCTCCCTCTTTCACTAAAAATCAATTTTAAAAATATTTTAAAAAAACACAAAAAAACAGTTTAGTTGCAACTGAATGAAAATGCCAGCTTCATAGAATGACTTTGGAGTGCCATCACCAAGCGGTGGGAAGAACATGAGAAACGTATTTCTCTTCAGGCTGGGACTTCTGACTTTTGTGAAGCCATTTATCAAAGACCTACAGCCTTCACTGGGAGATGCTTGAGATCCACACCTGATGTTTGACATGAGGAACAATTTTTAAATGCTTTACAATTTCACAGGAGCAAAGATAAATATATTTTCATGTGAGCTGCTAAATTATTTTAACAAAAATAAATGTGATTAATAAGGTTAATTCCTTGGATAACATTTGGACTACCCAAATCAGAAATGTAAACCAGTTATATATTTGTCTCCTAAGGCTGGCATATAACTATTATTTTAAACTCAGAATCCTAACTATGGCAATTCTGAATATTTATGTTTGGGGAGAAGTTCTGACTTGCAATGTGCTGAAATGCAAACTGTGAGAAAAGAGGTAGCTCAGGGGAGCTGGGGAATGATTTCAAGAAATTGAAGTTCCACTTTTTGGCTAAGATCAAGTGAAGAAATTGAAATTCCTTCCTGATGCAATATCCACAGCTTAAGACATATTTACTCCTTTTATTTTAGAAGAGTCAGGTTAATTCTGGTTTTTCTCTATAAGACTCACAGAGAAATTCAACTGTGTTAATTCTAATACTTGCCACTTTCAGAAAATTCATTTATCAGGAAAGCTGATACGTGTTTGAAGAAACTGTTATAAAACCAGCAGACTGGTGACTTGAATATTATCTCTCCTATTAGTCAATAACAACAACAATAGAAACAACTCACATTTACTGTGTCCAATTCAGTATATGATGTCATTTAATTCTATCAAACTATGAGACAGATGAGTAAACCAAGGCTTAGAGAAGATAAATAATGTGCCCCAAACTGCACAGCTAGTTAGTGTGGGAGCTAGGATTTGAAACTAACCTTGATTCCAGGACAGGCACATTATACTATACTAGTCCGCATCATGAGTCTTCGGCTAGACCAAGATAACTTGTCAAACTAATGTTATAGGATTCATTACTATGGCCTTTTGACAAAATAAATAAAAAAGATTGCTTTAAATTATTCGAGACCAAAAAAAAAAATAGAGGCTAAATTATTCATTCCTTTTAGGGTGATTGTATGTGTACGTCATGGCTTAATATGACAATAATTTTTTAAAAAGAAAAAATAACAAAATAATTTTACAAGGAATCAGAATATTATTAATAATTACTAGAAGGTATGTTGTGTAAACACTAATTCTGTTAAAAATATTAACTTTGTAATCACCAAACATATTCCTAGCCATTTGGAAGAAGATAAAGAGACAGTTACCTTTCATCCAAACCCATAAAATCCTACAATACTTGTATGGCTAAAGTGTTATTTTGAAAATGATTTGCATGATTCTTTTTTTTTTTTTTTTTTTTTAAATTTTTTTTTTTTTTTTTTTAAAGAGGGGGAGGGAGGGGG